TAACCATAATATATATATATAAAAAAAATACACAATCTCAACTGTGAAAAAAAATACAAAAATACAAAAATAAAAGAAAATATTCCTCCCATAATTGTCATGCTTCTGCTTTTCACATTTCTGATCTATGAAGGAATCACATTTAGGAAAAAAACCCCACTTTTATTTAAAAAAAAAAAAAAGATCCTTTAAGAGAATCATGTTTCTTCTGGAGTAATAGAGTAAACAGTAGTCTTACATACACTTGTTACCAACTTTAAAATCAGCAATTACTGATTAAATCAGTAATTTAGTAAAGTAATACCTTTAAATCAGTAATTACTTGAGTCTATTCAGACATTACATGATGTCTGACCTTCATCCTTCAACTGTACAAATATTCTGTAAAATAATTAAATGGCACAAGAAGCTGCTCTAAATTGTACTCGTAATATCTGCCCAGAACCTTACTCAAATGGGTTATTTTAGTTCTAACTAAAAATATAACCCAACTAAATATCAACTGAAGACCCTCTGAAAAGTACTTTCCCTGCTCAAATATTAAATTATACAGGAATATAGAATTTCAGTAACATTTCTGAACTTTTTTCTGGGCTTGAATAAAGTATTATTTAAAGCAAAGGAAGTAGATCGTCCAATATCGCAAAAATATTTAATACACATAACATATGTTCTGCTTGGTGTTTTACTTTTATAAAGCACAGTTTTACTTCAGAATCAAATATACGATACAACAATAGAATGACAATATATGGTTCTATCACATTGACAAAGAGGAAGAAAATTAATGCATGAAGTCTGGAACAATGCAAACAGTCTAACCACCAGTGGCAGGGAAATAACAGCACCAATAAATGCTGTATATTCACTATTAATTCATCTTTATTCAGCCAACATTTAAGCAAGTGCCTGAAGTCTAAGGTCTAATATTGCATTATTGAACTTAAGCACATGCCTAAAATTCTTTGGAAATAATTGGAAATTATATTTGAATAAGAAAATGCCTCCATCTAGTGTATTTTGGAAGTATTTACAAGTGTATGCTTATTTTAATGCTAGCTTTTAAGCAGATTTTATTTATTTTGGGCATTTCCTTAGAGAAAAAGAGTATGAATCTCCAGTTTTCAACCAGCTGTGAAATAAAGAATAATACTTGCATACACCCAACCTAGCACTTCTTTCATCAGACAGCAAGTGAAAACAACGGAGAATTTTTTAGTTGTGCATCTGAAAATCAGAGACCCTGTATATTGCCAAACCCCCAAAATTCTCCGCTTTCCACAGCCAGCGCCCAACCCGCAGCAGCAGCGTCTGCCCTTGCCTTTTCTTGCACAATGTGTGCTGCCTGTGGCTCTGGGCTGTACGGAACTCCAGCCAACACCTGCACCCGAGCAGGCAGAAATCAGCTTTGCTGAGAAGTCTGAATTTTTAGCAACTTCCCCTGCTACAGACACGCTGCTGTTGTGTTCCAGCAGCGAGGAAGGGAAAGAAAGGAGAGTCCCTGCAAACGGTACGTCGTTCTGCTCAGAGCTTCCCATATGACCTTTGCGGTGCACGAGGGAAATAAACCGGGTAATCCATCAGTGTTCTCAGGGTTGAGCAGAAAGTCACCTCCCAGCTTCACCAGCTTCTTCGCTGCTTATCTGGCCGCTCTTGTTCAGGGCACAAACCGCCTGGAATCCCCCATTCTCCCCAGGCAAACGGCCGCCGCCGCCGGGGAGATAGTGCAGCCTCATAGCAGCGCTGCTTCCCCAGCACATTGCTGCTAAAAACCCTGCCACATACAGGGCCAACCGCGGCAGAGAGGAACAAAACCTTCATCGACGCTCACAAAAGGGGATTACCAAAGTAAGGTGATCTGCCCAACGTAATCATGAGCGACCGGCAGTGGGGAAACAGATTTCTAATGCTTTAAGCTTTGAATGCGACACTGGACCACACCATCTCCCTGTGTGGCAGTGCAACAATATTTTTCTACACTTAGGTTTTATTTCACCTGAATTTACATTGGTACAAAGTTCAAGGCTATCGTATGGCAGAAAGGGGGAACACAATGTGGTCCATGCTTATTAAATTCTTAGTTGATGCCTCACCTCAAAAACTATTGACACAGGGGGATGCAATTATTTTTACAATGTTTTCATTTCTTGTTTGAGGTCTGCTTGGGTTTAGCTGGTTCATTCTGATGGTCTTTTGGAAACCAACTTTCCAATAAATTACACGATTCTACAATTTATCTTCTTCCAAAGTTTGTTTCATTTTGAACTGAGGGATTCAAATTTGTCTGCCACAGTTTCACTGTGTTCGCAGGGATGCAGCAGGCTGGTTGCTCAGAGAATTTATACTTCTTTGTTTGCTTCCCAGACAGGCTTTCCGAGAACTTTGTTTCTGTCTCCTTTTGACTTGCTGCCGAGGTACGGTGGAACCTCATTGACCCAAGCCCCTGGGTATAACGATTTAGGTTAATGAAGGTTTATAATATGGAAATGTGGTAGCTGCCAGTGGAAATGTCTAGCAGTGGCAAGAGCATCAGGGTGGTGCTTAGATAACCAGTTAGTAGGGGAATAGTGAGCAGCTACAGCAGCGACATTACTCCTTACACCAAAGTTGTTCTCCAATGAGGTGTTCATAACACGAGAAAGGACTCCTGACCTGTCATTCAGCGTAGGTCTAAAAGCTACAGGCCAGCCCTGGTGTTTCTCACTGTATATACGTAATTCCTAGGGAAGTAATTCTGTAGTCTGGAGATTGGTTGCCTACGGGTTTGTGTCTGAGATGCTTTGATTTTCTGTATTCCCTTCCTCAGTGCTCTTCTCCACGCAGTTATCAATCTCCGGTACAATGGCAGTTTACAATTCTTTCAGCCTGTATTAAACACTGGAGGTAAACTGGGCCATGACATTTGCCAAATCATAAATGATGTATTCTGTTTTGAGAAAAGAACTTATTATTGGTTTAACAATTTATGTTGTCTTAAATGAAGAATACACTCCACTGAAAAACACCACTTTGCTCTGTATCCCCACCAGACATACAGCACAATGCCAGCCTGCTTGACAAAGAAACAGTTGTATGTTTGATAATAGTAACAGTTTCCCTAAAAGAGTTCCGCTTAGGATGCTGGTAATTAATTATTACCACATATTGCTGTGATGCTAGAGCTATATTAATACGGTTATAATTACACACTTGGTGTCAAACACGTAGTGTTCCTGGTGTTTGTCAAGATATACAGTTGCTTGAAACAGCAGATTTCAAAATGAAAAACATTATTATTTATCACACACACAAATACTACATTCCAGATAATGTTCCTTTAAAAGAGGCAATCCATCATGTTTCTCATTAGAGTGCAATTTGCTACATTTGCTACTGCCATTAAGTTATATATTACAGTAGGAGCAGGGTATTCCACTGAGAAATGTTGCTTTGGCTACCGTCCAAATGATGCAGACTAGGAACAGGTTCAATTGGCTTTACAATTTACTGTCCTGTAATTTCATCTGGAGCCTCTTTCCTAATCTTGTAACTGCCACGAGTCGTCGACGTGCGGCAGAGCTCTAATTAAGTCTGTGCGTATTGACAAGCGGTACATACCTGGCTGTGCAACGCCAAATCCGGGAGGACACTCCGTGTGCTTTAAACAAAACTCGAGCTCCAGGTATCTGCCTTCGACGCACTCGCAGACGCGGTTCTGCGTGCTGGTGCACTCCTGCTTGACGTACTGCAGCTCTTTGCAAACGGCGCTGCAGTACTGGCATTCATCGTTGCTGTTCCACTCGTCGGCGTAGTACTGATCCGGGCACGGGGCGCACTGCGTCGGGCTGGTGGCTGTACAGTGCTGCTTCACGTAGCTCCCAGGAGGGCACTGGTCACACAGCAGCTGACGAGACGTCCCTGGGTCGTAATGGGGATACTTGGGGGCAGAGTCGTCCTGGATGGTCCACTTAACAGAAATGTCCAAGAGCTAGCAACAGGAAAACAAAACATTGCTCGCTTTAGTTCTGGGGAGCACCGTGGTGACAAAGAAACCTACATTTTAATGAGTTTATGAGTCTAATCATGTTGCTATCTTCAAAACAATGTTTGCGTTAGAAATTTATAAAATATTAGCCAGCTTCCGGACTCTCCCATGTCTATCTTAGAATGGGAAAATTTTAAGATCTTATCCAGCAAATCTTCCCAGCGTTAAGTTCTTCCTTGTTCTTCCAGAGATGTAGAGCTTATTCTTCTCCCATTTATACTCTTTTAATATCACTGGACAATGACCTTTTTTAACCGCCTGGCACCACAGAACCTGGCATGGGGAACATGCTCGATGCACAGCGAGGTGGGGATTACACACTCCTGTGTTCTTAAGTGTTAAGTACTTCAGGTGCAAGAGAAATGGTATCTGAGCATACAAATCTGGCCAGCGTACTGCACCATTACCACAGTTACCTTCAAAGGTGATACCTTACAATACTTCTTTTTACCAGCAATGAATGGCTAGAGCAATATAGGTTACTTTTTAATGCCTTCCATTTAATCTTGCACTGAAATGCAGCAGCTCTGGGGATAAAATGTGGCAGTTACGTCAAGTATGAAGATGCAGCTTCAGACAGAGGTAAAGAATGCTGCAGTTTATGAAGGGTACATTAAGCACTTAATGGCACAGAGGCCAGGCTAATGCTTTCACTCCCTATCTAAAACCACAGGTTTAGGGCTGTTGTGAGGACCTTATTCAGTACTGGCACGTCACGACTGCTACGCTCCTGCTTCCTGCAACAGTCTGCTTTGCTGGTGTCATTTGGGACCCAGGGATCTGAGATGACCCTGTCCTTCTGCAGAGACAACCTCCATATCACATCATTTTGGTCTTGTAACTGAAAATTTGGTTCTGAGATTCCACCAGTCTATCAAAAAATAACTCTTGGGTTTAGTTCCTGTGTACCACCCTGAGCCCCACAGGGTCCACTGGCAGCTCGCTCTTCCCACTGAGAACACGGCTCTGTCCCAGCGCTGCGTGACCGACGTGCCACTTCTCTTCTAAAACTTGTACGTTTTATAAAGATGAAGTAAACTGGCTCTGAATGAAGATTTTTTCCTATGTATCCATTCAAATTATAAATCCAACTGACTTGTCTTTGTTGCTATTTTAATCCCAGTCAGCTAATAGACAGTTGCCAATTCAATTTCAAGAATGTATTTTCTTCTTTTCCAATGCAGATGTCCCCACAGTATAAGTGGAATTAACTCTTTTTATTCATTCAGACTCTATATTTCCTAAAGAGTCTTCATCTAAGGGCCTCACTTCTGCCACAGCATGGCACTTCTTAAGTGATAGTCTTATTAAGGTTGGAGAGGACAATTTAATTGTTCATTAACACAAGTTAAAGCACAAGTTGTGCATTAACACAAGTTGCAGCGTTTGCACCAAGCAATATTAGGTGCCTAAATTAGGAACTCTTACCACTTAAGAAAATATTCTTAAGAAAATTCTTAAGAATTCTTAAGAAAATATTCTTAAGAAAATATTCTTAAGTGCATTCTCCTGTTGCCTGTCTATGCAATCCACTTTTTACACAGCTCTACTTAGGCTGAAGAATGAAGTGCAGATAGTACGGGTATTCCCCACAGCCTCTTCTAGTCACCTTTGACTAAGCCCTGTAAATTGTCCAATCTGTGATTTCTATAGGTGAAGATCCCACTTTTTCTCGTGGTCTCAATGCACAGTCTCTTCCATTGTGAGAAATTCTTTATTACTCATTGAAGTTTGATGTACCGCTCCATTTTTCTTAAATGACCGGATCTGTTTCATGTGATCTATTTAACAAGAGGGTGCAGCACATTTTTTAATAGTGAATGGCTTTCCATTGATGAAAAATGCACCCACCCTTGGTAAATCTACAGCTATACTCCAGTAATAAGGAAGTCCTGGTAATCCCATTAATTGTTGAACAGTCAGGTTCTCTCCAACCTTTTTTATTCAGTAATAGATAATACAGCATCACAGAGTCCAAGACTTGCATGGACACACGCATTCCCTTCGCAAACATAACAGACTGCAACATGCAGCACAGATGCTACAAAGACAAGCATCAACCCACATTTCATGCAGACGTCTGTGGAAACCTGAGACAACACCCAACGCAGATGAAAATCTTTAACACTGATGAATACTTGAACAATACATGTGTGAAAATTATTAGGGACAGCAACCGGACATGTGGGCAGCATGTCCTTGTGCAGAAACACAGTTTTCCTTCTCTGTAATGCACAGCTCACAACGATCCCCATGCTGTCACTGCAGCAGCATCTGCTCCTCTGGGTCATGCCTCTGCCCTTGGTGACATATTTTCAGGTGCTGAATGCTTACATAGACCATTTCATGACTGTTCAACTCCCCTCTGCAACATGCAGGAGCGAGAACAACAAGATTTTCTCTATTTTCCTTACTCAACCATTTACGCTGGAAATCATATATGAGGCAAGTGAGAAGTTTTCCTGCAGGGGATGATTCAAGATTAAAGAATAATTCAAATTCAATAATCAGGGTATGAGAGCATGGG